ATGATTTTCCAAGCTACTTGGTGATATATTCTTGCAATTTGTGACACCCAAAATCTCTGAAATGAAACAGCACCTTATAATTAGAAACAAATTATATCTTCCACAAAGTTTGTTTTCAGGAAAAGAAGTAAATTTGATTTGTTTATACCTGTTATGGATCCCCTGATAGCCATCACAAAGTCACATCACAGGAATCAAGATCATGACTTCAGGTTAAAAGCCTCTGTCACTTAAAATATAGGTATTTAATTCATAAGTAAATATAACTCTTACTAAAAAGGTCAAATAATATAAACTTACATATAGGGAAATTTATAGCTCACCTTTTATTCTACTTAAATTCTATGGTTCTTTTCCATAATTGATTATTTTTAACAAATTGTGGGCATCCTTCTGAACTTCTTGTATGGAATTAGATATATGTGTATTTTTTATATTTTATTCTATTTTTTCAGTTAAGAGAACAATGTCTATTTGTGTTTTGTAACTGGAGTATAATTGCTCTACAGTGTTGTGTTAGTTCTTGCTGCACAATGTGAATCAGCCGTATGTATACGCATCTCCCTTCCCTCTTGAGCCTCCACCCCATCCCCCACCCCACCCCTCTCGGTCACCACATCGCATGGAGCTGAGCTCCCTATGCCGTGCAGCGGCTTCCCACTAGCTGCTTACTTTATACATGTATATAGTCAGTGTACATATGTCAACACTGCTCTCCCAGTTTGTCCAGCTCCCCCCAGATATAGGTATGTTTTTATATACACTGTTATGCTTAAATATATAGAATTTTTTTTTAACTATAATTTTTTTTATTTTAATTAATTAATTAATTTATTTTTTTATCACAACCATAGTGTATCTTTTTTTTTTTTTTTATACATGTATTCCCCATCCCGGTCCCCCCTCCCACCTCCCTCTCCACCCAATCCCCCTGGGTCCTCCCAGTGCACCAGGCCCGAGCACCCGTCCCATGCACCCAACCTGGGCTAGTGAACTGCCTCACCCTAGACAACATACGTGTTTCAATGCTGTTCTCTTGAAACATCCCACCCTCGCCTTCTCCCAGAGTCCACAAGTCTGTTCTATACATAGGAGTCTCTTTTTCTGTTTTGCACATAGAGTTATCGTTACCATCTTTCTAAATTCCATATATATGTGTTAGTATACTGTAATGGTCTTTATCTTTCTGGCTTACTTCGCTCTGTATAATGGGCTCCAGTTTCATCCATCTCATTAGAACTGATTCAAATGAATTCTTTTTAATGGCTGAGTAATATTCCATGGTGTATATGTACCACAGCTTCCTCATCCATTCGTCTGCTGATGGGCATCTAGGTTGCTTCCATGTCCTGGCTATTATAAACAGTGCTGCAATGAACATTGGGGTGCACGTGTCTCTTTCAGATCTGGTTTCCTCATTGTGTATGCCCAGAAGTGGGATTGCTGGGTCATATGGCAGTTCTATTTCCAGCTTTTTAAGAAATCTCCACACTGTTTTCCATAGTGGCTGTACTAATTTGCATTCCCACCAACAGTGTAAGAGGGTTCCCTTTTCTCCACACCCTCTCCAGCATTTATTGCTTGTAGACTTTTTAAACAAAACTAAGCATGAAACATTTCTAACCTTAAGGATATTTTGAAGGCATTTTCTTATGAATACATTTAGGTCTAGATCCTGAAGAGTATTTCATGATTTGGGGCTGTAATGTTGTTCTGCCTTGTTCTCATTAGTGAATATATAGGATCTTTTGTTGTTATTTTAGTGGTGTAGTGTGTATCTTTGTAAATGTGTCTTGTTGTACACATGAACACATAAATAACATAAATTCCTAGAAGCAGAATTGTTGAGTTGAAGGATAAATGTATTTTACATTTTTATATAACCCAACAAATCATTTTCTGAAAGTTAATATCAAGTCATCTGCCTACAAAAGGGTATTAGACAGCACTAAATATTACATCTCATTAATTTCTGCCAATGTAATTATAAAAAGTTCTTTTATTTCTTATTTGGCATTTTTTCTTACACCAATGTTATAATTCCTGATTTAACTGTCAAGCATAATTTAGAAAATTAAAGAAGAGAAGAAAAGTCTATTATATTTGCTCATATTTCTGATGACAGTTTCCTTTCTTCTTTCTTGATGCTTCAGTGTTTCTTCTCTTATTGGTTCCTTTCTGTTTAGAAAACTTCCTTTAGCTATACTTTCAGGGGAAGTCTGCCCACCCATCTGCTGCTAAGTCGCTTCAGTCATGTCGTGTCCCACTCTCTTTGCAATGCTATGGACTGTGGCACATCAGGCTCCTCTGTCCATGGGATTCTCCAGGCCAGAATTCTGGAGTGGGTTGAAGTGCCTTCCTCCAACGGATCTTCCCAACCCAGAGATCAACTAGCCTCTCTTACATCTCTGGCGCTGACAGACGGGTTCTTGACCACTAGTGCCATGAGGAGGAGAAGGCAATGACAATCCACTCAGCCTGGTGGGCTGAGGTCTATGGGGTCACACAGAGTTGGACATGACTGACATGACTTAGCAGCAGCAGCAGTGCCATGAGGTCTATTTGTGACAAATTCTCTTAATTTTCCTTTATCCAAGAACGTCTCAATTTCCCCTTCATTCCTAAAGGATATTTTCACCAGGTGAAAGTGAAAGCGTTAGTCACTCAGTCATGTCCAACTCTGTGACACCAGGCTCCTCTGTCCATGGAATTCTCCAGGCAAGAATACTTGAGTGGGCTGCCGTTTCCTTCTCCAGGGGATCCTCCTGACGCCAGGATAGAACCCAGCTCTCCCACATTGCAGACAGACTCTTTACTGGCTGAGTCGCCAGGGAAGCCCTTCACCAGGTACAAAGGTCCATATAGTCAAATTTATTAATTTTCCAGTAGCTATGTATGGGTGTGAGAGTTGGAGCATGGTGAAGACTGAGGACTGAAAAGCTGACGCCTTTGAACTGTGGTGCTGAAGAAGACTCTTAGAGTCCCTTGGACTGCAAGGAGATCCAACCAGTCAATCCTAAAGGAAATCAACCCTGAATATTCACTGGAAGGACCGATGGTGAAGCTGAAGTTCCAATACTTTGACAACCTGATGCAAGGAGCTGACTCACTGGAAAAGACCCTGGTGAAAGGAAAGACTGAGGGCAGGAGAAGAGGGTGGCAGAGGATGAGATGGTTGGATGGCATCATCAACTCAATGGGCAGGAGTCTGAGCAAACTCCAGGAGAAAAGGAAGCCTAGTGTGCTGCTACAGTCCATGGGCTCGTCAAGAGTCAGACACAACTGAGTGACTGAACAAGATTCCAGGGATAACAGTTCCTTTCTTTCAGCACTTGAAAAATGCATGTCTTCTTTTTGGTTTCTATGATTTCTTATCAGAAATTAGTTATCATTTCAATTGTTTTCCCCTACACGTAAGGTTTTGTTGCTCTCAATATTATCTGTATTTTCACTTAGTTTTCAGAAGTTTGCGTGTGATGTGATTTGATATTAATATCTTTGGGATTTAGGCAGTATCTTGAATTTGTAGATTAATGCCTTTTGCAAAATATATACATTTCAGCCATTAATTCCTTTAATATTTTTTGTAGCTTTATACCTTATTCTCTGTCTCCATCTGAGACTCCAATGACACGAATGTTAGATCATTTGTTATACTGCCACAGGTGCCTGAGGCTCTGTCCTCCACTGGCCCCCAATCTATCATTTCTCTGTTGTTTAGAATGTGTGTGATTTTATTATTCTTAGAGTTCACTGGTTCTTTCCTCTTTTCACATGGAATAAAAAAATATGAAACTCATATATATTGGGATAAGGAATTAGCATGATTTACAAAATAAATTTGTATAAAAATGTTTTCAAAATCACTAAGGTAGTGAGATTAAATTTTCATTCCTGTTATTTCTATTTTATATTATTTCATGGAAAAAATAACAACTATCCTTGATATTGGGCAGATGAACTCAAAATCAAATATACCCATTCCTGGTGAGAAGAAAAGTCAAAAAATAGAAAATAGAGAGGTAAAAATCTAAGGAATTAACTTTCAGGCTATAGATCCAATGCCTACTTTACCTTCATACTTTTAAAATATGTTACTGGTGATACACATATTTTTGAAGCAATTACCTATTGCTATAAATAGAGTATATTATCTCTTCTAAGAAATATGATATGAATTCTGATCCTAACCTTCTGTTCTTTTTCAAAAAAATTAACTAAGTGACTAAAAATAATTATAGAAAATCAAGATAAATTAAGAGAAAATTAAGATAAATTAAGATAAAATTAAAATAAATAAGACAGTCATTTTATTTTTTTCAAATGGAGCACAATTCTTCAAGTAGATTAGTGTAAGTACCTATTTACTGAACTTATACCTATTTGCTATTAGGTATAAATAGCAAAGCTGAATTTGAATGAGTTCCAAAGTTCAACTGTCAAGAAATGTTACTGTTAGTGTTTATATTTTGATATTATTGCTATGTTTTGGTATTAGCTTTGAAAGGCTATATGGTCTTCTGAGAAATGTATAGTAAATAACTAAAATGTAAATTAGATCTTTTTCTAAAGATTGACCACAGAAGTTCAAGGACATCTTTAAAAACTACATACACCTGATAAATAATTTATGGGAAATGGATCCCAGAGAAGCAAACCCAAATATTACCTCATGTATAAATATTTAAAGGAAGTATGCATACATAAAAATGTAATCACAACATATGATTCAAACTATATTCAATTTACCTTTAAGCCACCCACCAATTTGGCTGATGTAAGAACCTGGGCCATTTATTTTAAAAAGTGGATTTCCAAGAATTACTCATATAGTTCCTGGATCTGGAACTTGGTGTCTCAATGTTGATTAAATATATTTGGGAAATGGTATATCATAGGAACTTAAGTGGAACAATGAAAGCACTTACTCAAACATTCAAAACACTCCCTAAAAGCTAAAAAACAAACAAACCACTACTCTGTTTCACTGAAATGCTCACCTTATTGAATAAAGAACATTCCCATTCTTGAAAATTCTTAACAATTTGTTGTCTGTAGTCACTTCATGAAAGTTGGCTCCCTTTTCATTGGCAAAGAACAAATCAGGTTTCCAAATAGAATCCAACATGGAAGGATCTAGGTCCAAGGAGTCATCAGGGTATTCATTATATGCAAGACGCGGGTCATTCCATTTCTGACGAAGAAAAATATTCACTCTGTAATCCTGTGACAGAAGAAAGACAGAGGGGGAAAGGCTTGTTTTTAAAAGCTGAGAATTGTATGTGTTAGTCTTTCAGCTTCTCTGAATTATAGCAAAAACTGCTGACATCCATGTGAGATTTCCATACCCCTCAATCCTTAGTCGTTACCACCAAGAGTCTCTACTTCTGAGGCTTTGCCAATGTTTCTACGTGCCTTCAAAGAAAAGGTCACAGAAGACCATACTTTTATCATGCTTATATTTTGCTGTGCCATTCAAATTTTACTCTCTTGAATAAAATACTGAATTGCTATTGGACACTCAGAAAAAAATATTTTAGAATCACTTCTTTTTGTAGGTATCCATTAGCATCAAGAATGCATTTAGTAAAATTTTCTTGAAACTGCTTATTTTGTGAAAATAAACCTATGCACTTTTTACAATAAAGCACCATTTTCTCATATTTAATATATCACAAAGGTTCTATGAAACTGGTGAAGTGGTAAAAATAAAAGGTGGTTTTGGAATAATAAAGGAAAGCTATTGCCAGTAATCCTTTAAGATTTGGCTTATGAGATTTCCCAATTAGATCTTTCATAGTTATTAATGAAAGAAAAGTCAAAGATTCCAATCAAATTCTTGCTTACAGTTTCCAGACTAAGGTTCAGTTCAGTTCAGTTGCTCACTCATGTCTAACTCTTTGTGACCCCATGAACCACAGCACCCCAGGCCTCCCTGTCTATCACCAACTCCCAGAGTTTACTCGAACTCATGTCCATTGAATCAGTGATGCCATCCAACCGTCTTATCCTCTGTCATCCCCTTCTCCTGCCCTCAATCTTTCCCAGCATCAACGTCTTTTCAAATGAGCCAGTTCTTCACATCAGGTAGCTGAAGTATTGGAGTTTCAGCTTCAACATCAGTGCTTCCAATGAATACCCAGGACTGATCTCCTTTAGGATGGACTGGTTGGATCTCCTTGCAGTCCAAGGGACTCTCAAGAGTCTCCTCCAACACCACAAATTCAAAAGCATCAATTCTTCAGCACTCAGCTTTCTTTATAGTCCAACTCTCACACCCATACATGACCACTGGGAAAACCACAGCCTTGACTAAGGTATAGAGTGACAAAGATCGACAACCATGGGTTTGTGTTATATTTGTACACAGTATGTAAGTACTATTCTGTGACTATAAAATTTTGAAATGAGCAAATAAACATGCAGACTTAGTACAAGCATAAGTAAAATGAACATTTTTAAGAAAGCTTAATTTCCATGGAAAATAGCTAAGGCTGGAGATATTCAGAGAAACTGAATATCTGTTTTCATCTATTTTATCATTCTTTAAACACCAAATTACCAGTCACCAGAATTGAGTAACCAAACAATCAGAAAAAATGCTTCCATAATATTAGACCCAAAGATTGGTTATCTTGCAATGAGGTCAAATTCAGAGTTTGAAGTGAATGTTACAAATATATATGTTCCCTTGATCATTATTTTTGCACTGGGACTCTTATATTCTAACTGGAACTGAGGTTACATACCAGATAGTACTTTTCTGCTTTCCAGTTGCCCCGTGTATCTTCCAAAGTGACAACAGAGCAGAGATCACTTCAACGTTCTACCACAAAACTCATATTGATGTGGAAATCTCACAAGCCACAAGGATAGGTCATCCTCCCCTAGCATAGGGCTCAGAAGTACAGTTTCATGGCTGGTGGTCAGTTCCCATATCCCTCACTGTCCTGTAATCTGTGCCTCCACCCTAACTGCCACCAAACGCATCAGTGATGGCAGTAGAGTCAGTTTGCCTCTGCCTGACCTCTAGGGAAAGACAAACAAGACAATTTATGATGACATCTGCCAGGAAAAATAACTGATTATTCCTTTAAGACTGATTCTTAGGATTTTTTTTAAAAGCTGACTTATTTTTATATTGTAGCTAATGTATTGATGGAGTACTCTGCAATGCTGAGAACTTTCAAGCTGCAGTGTATGTGATAAGGCGGCCCTAGTGGTAAAGAACCCACCTGCCAATGCAGGAGACTTAAGAAACACAGGTTTAATCCCTGGGTTGAGAAGATTCCCCTGGAGAAGGGTATGGCAACCCACTTTAGTATTCTTGCCTGGAGAATCCCATGGACAGAGGAGCCTGGAGGGCTCCATGGGGTCGCACAGAATCAGACGTGACTGAAGCAACTTAGCCTGCCCATATGTGATAAAATTTGGTTGATTCTCCTCATCTTTACATGATTGATTTAGTGATAAATTTGATACATACAATAGCAGATTCTTCCAGAAACACTTTTTGCTCCAAGAATGAGCTGGGAAAAAAGACATCAAGTAGCCTTCAGTTTGTTTGTAACTCGCACAAGGAAAACATCAACTGTCATCTGTCACCACAGCCAAATGTTTTCCTATATCCAGTGTGCTCCTTCTGTGAGTAACCAGAACCATCTTTGTTTACTAACATGTCTAGGCCTATGGTTTAGTGCCAGAGTCCAAAGCATAACTGAAAAATGACCATTTCCTGAAAACCCAGAAACTTAGGTTTTAACAGTCCACACAGTTTAGGTTTTGACCTGCCTGCAACTGAACGTTGTGATGGGAAGCTTCCCTATCAAACAATCAACTTCAGCTTTTTGAAAATAAACTTTTAAGCCCAACTCCGCAAGCCAATGTATCCCATCTATGCTCAGCAACCTATTATATTAATTATTTTTGAATTCTGAAAGGAAGTGAAAGTGTAGTCTCTCAGTCATGTCTAACTCTCTGCAACCCCATGAACTGTAGCCTGCCAGCTCCTCTTGCCCATGGAATTCTCCAGGCAGGAATACTGGAGTGGATTGTGATTCCCTTCTCCAGAGGATCTTCCCAACCCAGGGGTCGAACCCAGGTCTCCCACATTGCAGGTAGATTCTTTATTGTCTGAGCCACCAGAGGATCCCTTTTGAATTCTGATCATATGTCAAAATGTGCAAAGAAAAGGGTATAAAACAACATATTCAAATAATACCACTCTAAAAGAAGAGTAACTCAACTTGTTATCCATGTAACTCAACTTGAAATAAATTGTTTGTAACAAAAGATCATCGATCAAGGAAGGAAACAGCTTTGCAAAACAGAGACCAATAAATGTGTATGCAGCCTATGGAGGAAAAAAAAAGACGTTAAATGGACTTACTAAAGTCAGTTTAAAAATTCAGTCATTCCTTGGATACACTTAAAGACTAAATGTCTTTGTTTGTTTTGGGTGGTTTTCTGTTTTATTTATTTATTTTTATTAACAATTTTGTGTTAGTTTCAGGTGTGTTTTATTAATAGGATTTTCCCTGTTCTCCTGGCTCTGCTTCTATAAGGGATAAAATGTAGAAAGGTCATATGTGAGTTTAAAAAAAATGAGATAATACATCATAGCAAAATCAATATTTTTATCTCACATTTCTAAAATCTACCCATTTATTAAATTTATTCCTAAGTCTTATAAGGCAGCTGAATTGACATTTACATGCCTGGAATCATATTTTAGGACAGAGACACTAATGATTCTTTTCCCCTAGAATGTCTTTTGTAGTAATATATATATATACTTGCAAACCCTTCAGAAGTTAATTTTATTTTTTCATCATTTTGCATGTTATATAATTAATAAGTTGTTTCTAAATGTTATACCAGTGTATTAATCTTACACAACAGTGATAGAAGCATAATCATTATTTCATAAATATATAAAGACTAATTTTAACATTTTGGAGTTCAAGTTTATTATTAGTAGAATAGAGTGTATCATGTTATTCTAACTACTTTAAATTAATTGTGCAGGAAAACATTCTGTTGATCAAGTAAAATTATATACCACATTTGGATTTGAAAGTAAGCATTCGTTAAAATGTACTTTAAATTCCCTATGTATGTCACATAGTAAATAATTACAGAACCACACTACACTTTCTCTCCTAGTATTTGAAATTTTACATTACAAGATACAAGTAAATAGTAATTCTATTAGGTAAATATTATAATGATTAATACACTAGGCTCAGAAGTAAATCTTATTGGTATCAAATGTCAGCTCTCCCAGCAAATAGCTTTCTTTTTCTAAATTAATTTTTATTGGAGTATGATTGCTTTACAGTGTTGTTAGTTTCTACTGCACAGCAAAGAGATTCAACTATAAATATACATGTATCCCCTCTTTTTTCTATTTCCTTCCCATTTCAGTCACAACAAAGCACTGAGTTCCCTGAGCTACACAGTAGGTTCTCATTAATTACCTATTTTATACACAGCAGTGTATATATGTCAATCCCAGTCTCCCAATTCATGCCACCCACCTCTTCCCCCCTTGGTGTCCATATGTTTATTCTCTACATCTGTGTCTCCATTTCTGTTTTGCGAATAAGATCATCTATACCATTTTTCTATATTCCACATATATGTGATATTTGTTTCATATAAAATATTTGTTTTTACTTTCTGACTTACTTCACTCTTTATAACAGTCTCAAGGTCCAGCCATGTCTCTACAAATGATAATGTAGTACATATATACAATGGAATATTACTCAGCCATACAAAGGAATGAAATGTAGTGAATAGCTTTCTATTCTCTCTGGACCTTGTTTGATCAGCGGTGAGACAGGGATGATTATAACACCACTTCCCCTGATAGGGCTCTTGCGAGCACTGGATTGATCTACGTCACATACTTGGAACCACACTCACTAAATGTTCGACTCTCAAAATTAACAGCCATGGTAAATAGAAATTTTCTTGTATTTTCTGTCTAAATTAGTTTTGAAGTACTAGTGGCATTTTTATTTGAATTTGGGGTAACTGAATTTGGCATGGAAGAACATGGGATGGATAATTGTAATGCTGAAATCTGGTGAATAATATCTTTGAAAATTTTCAAGACTATTATGATAAATATCATTAACTTTTGTATTTCAACATTTCTGTATTTTTATATTTTCTGTTTATTCTATTGCCCCTCCTCCCCCATTTATATATAAACAT